TAATCTTTTTAAAAATGTTTTGTAAATATCTTCTGTATTATGCATACCGATATGCTTTGGCTGCAATAAAATTCAAAGGGCTGTTATGAACTGCAGATTCAGATCAAAATGATTAGTGAGAAAGACTTTTATAATGCGATATAAAAGACTTTTATAATCGTATTATAAGTTTCCCGAAAAATAAATAAATTGTAGTCTGTATATAACCCCCCCCAAAAAAATAAGTTTTTCATCAGAGAATGACAATTTGCATTGCATTAGTTCACGTTTTGAAGCTTAATGAAATTCTGCTTAACTAGATTTACGTAGTTGTGCTCATGGAATAAGTTGTGAATCTTTTTCATAACCAGGAAGCTGATCGTCTGTTTTATAACACCCATTCAAAAAATGGAATATTCAGAATATCCTTGTTGAGCACTTGTAATGTAAATATGACTTTAACCTTAAATAGAAGAACCTCTAGGTTCCTCGCTTTGTAAGAGATTCGTATACTTATAGTTTCCATTATTAAATCTTTTAATGATATTGTTGCGAATTTTGCATACATGTAAATTGTTTTAGTGAGATAATATGCAATTTGTAGTGCCTCTTGTATAATACAAGATATATCTCGTATATAATGTAAGGCCTTAAGATGCGAATTGTTGCTGAAAAAATAAGGTTACAAGATCAAGTCCATTTAAGACCGAGGTGAACGGCTATCTCAACAAATTAATGAGATAGCGCCTGACGTTGGTTTTCGAGACTAATTTTTTGTCGCCAAATTAGACGAGAAGTAGCCAATATAGATGTCGGAAATTTTGGTCCGATGCCTAAGTAATATCAACTGAGTATGCCTTCCAGCAATTTGGAGAAATCGAAGTCATGGAGGTAGGAAGTAAGAAGGAGTCGCCTAAACAAGTTTCTCCGTACCCTGCTCTGAAGCACCGGCGATCCCTACGTGGTGACCAAATCATTGGGTCATTTACCATTGAGTTCTATGGGATTTGACGCGTTCGGGTGTAAATATTTTGTAATTACGTCGCAAATATACATATAAATGTATATATTTTCTTTTTCTACAACACTTCAGAGTCCTAAGTATGTGAAAACAACATATTTTTAAACAACATTTCATTCTGAACGGAATTAAATGCTATACTTTCACAGGACAGTTTTCTCAGAATGGTTTAATTTGAATGAAATATTTTCACAAGTTTTCGTTAATTACATTAGAAAAAAAAATTAAGGTAATTCGATTTTATTCGGTTAAGGTACAAAAATTAAGATCAAAGTTTATTGTATTATTAATATTAAAATTATGCATTATTTCTTTTCTATTTATAGAGCTTCTTCCTAAAATACTTTCTTAAATATGACATGATTTTTTTGGCTTCTTTTAAATCGAAAAATGTAAGTCAATTTATAATTAATGCTCTATTCGGTTCATTTTAAATTAGAGAATTATTAGGAAAATAGTATATTGACTTTCTCTGAACATTTCTGAAAGGGAATAAAATAAGTTTTTTTTTTTTTTTTTTAAGTATTATTTAAAACTTAACTGAGTTATTATAAAATGTAAAGGGAATAATTCTTTTAATTATACTTATCAGATTTTTTTTTTTTACCCTTCATTTCAACAATACATATTCCAAAACTCTTTATTACGTTCTTAAGTGCGCATCTCTCATAGCATTTGCTTTACAATACCTTTTAACAGATTGCTTTCCAATACGAACAATTCTTGCTTAAATAGTTTTATAACGTATTTGTCAACAGGATTTCAATTTATGTTTACAATTCAATATTAAGGTTATTATATATTTAGATAACATTTATAATCATTATAAATTAGATACATTTAATCATTAGATTTCTTCACAGTACTATTCACAGTTGTTTATAAGTGAATAAATTCTTCATTTCAAATACATTTATAAATAATTTAATGAATATTTAAGTATTTTGTCAAAGGCAGATACATGCTTTTTGCAAGCACATGCATAAATACCCATACATATTTCCTATTTATCATTTCCGGCATGTGCAAATCTTTAATTTCTGTGCATTCACTATATTTTTCGTGTAAAGTAATTTACACTAATTTAGCATACACCCGAAAGTTTTACATAAAAAATATATATGAATATAATTTGAATGAAAATTATAAGTATTATTTTTAATACCCACTCAAAGGTCAGTTTTTCTTCAAAATTCCTCCACGATGGCATCTCTCTCTTTAGGCAGATAGCCCTTGCATGCGTTACTCTATTTAATAAAAACTTAATCTGACCTATGTGCCTAATTACAAATATTTTAACATACATAATTTTATATTTACATTTAGCCATCAAGTTTCAAACTTTTCAAATCTTCTAGAAAATAAATTTTGGCAGATCTCTTTTAGCAATTTTCTTAAAATCTATATTTTTTAGTGCAACAGCTTAGAATTTTATAAAACAAATTCATAATCAAAATCGCTGTTGTTAGTTATCGAAAAATAACCAAGATGTGATTTTGCGTAAATGTCAGTAAACTATACAAATTGCTATTATCCATCACACTATGAATGTTTCTTTCATGCGAGAGTGTCCCTTTTTCGATTTCTATGGAACTGTCGTGTGTCGAAATACTATCGAATTTTGTCAAGCGAGCTTCTGAATGTAAACAAAAAACCCAGTCTGGTGACCCAAGCTTCAAAGCAGTGCTTCACTTCTAGCGCGGGAATGCCCCTCTCCTTTCCTACCTCCATATCGTCACAGGAGGTGGAGTAAGAAGGATCGCCCTAAACAAGTTTTCCTTACCCTGCTTGAAGCACCGGCGACCCTGTGGTGACCAAACATGGGTCATTACATTGATTCATGGATTGACGCGTCGGGTTGAATATTTTGTAAGTACGTCGCAAATATAATATAAATGTATATATTTCTTTCTACACAGTTCAGATCCTAATATGTGAAAACAAATATTTTTAACAACATTATTCTGAACGGATTAATGCTATACTTTCACAGGACAGTTTCTAGAATGGTTTATTGAATGAAATATTTTCACAAGTTTTCGTTAATTACATTAGAAAAAAAAATTAAGGTAATTCGATTTTATTCGGTTAAGGTACAAAAATTAAGATCAAAGTTTATTGTATTATTAATATAAAATTAGCATTATTCTTTTCTATTTATAGAGCTTCTTCCTAAAATCTTTCTTAATATGACATGATTTTTTGGCTTCTTTTTTAAATCGAAAAATGAAGTCAATTTATAATAATGCTCTATTCGGTTCATTTTAATTAGAGAATTATTAGAATTAAATAGTATTTGACTTCTCTGAATATTTTGAAGGGAATAAAATAAGTTTTTTTTTTTTTTTTTTTTTTTAAGTATTATTTAAAACTTGTAACTGAGTTATTATAAAATGTAAGGGAATAATTCTTTTAATTATACTTATCAGATTTTTTTTTACCTTTCATTTAAACAATACATATTCCAAAACTCGTTGTACGTTCTTAAGTGCTCATCTCATAGCATTTGCTTTACAATACCTTTTAACAGATGCTTTCCAATACGAAAACAATTCTTGCTTAAATAGTTTTATAACGTATTTGTCAACAGGATTTCAATTATGTTTACAATCAATATTAAGGTTATTATATATTAGATAACATTTTATATCATTATAAATTATACATTTATCATTAGATTTCTTCACAGTACTTCCAGTTGTTATAAGTGAATAAATTCTTCATTTTCAAATACATTATAAATAATTAATGAATATTTAAGTATTTTGTCAAGGCAGATACATGCTTTTTGCAAGCAATGCATAAATACCCATACATATAATTTTGACGAGGATTGCAGCATTTTATGGTAATTTTATTTTAATTAACCCAAATAAGTAAAAACGTGTAAGCCCAAAGTGATTTTTTTCGATAGATAAAATTAAACGATGGGTTTATAATAGCAGCAGTAAAGCCCTTCTCTAAAAAATTTTAAAAGGTAAATGTTAAATAATATATGGATGTGAAAAAATTTGTTTATTTAAAAACATTTGACGTTTGGAAATAAATAAAAGTAGCGAAACTCTATCAAGGGTATTTAAGACGTATACAATTTTAAATGTACCGTAAGGTATTTTGAATCCTTTAGCATAACATTTTCTTAAAAATCTATATTTTGTGTGCAACAGCTTAGGAATTTATAAAACAAATTCATAATCAAAACGCGTTGTTAGTTATCTAAAAATGACCAAGATGGGATTTTGCGTAAATGTCAGTAAAACTATACAAATTGCTATTATCCATCACAATAGAATGTTCTTTCATGCGAGAGTGTCCCTTTTTCGATTTTCTATGGAACTGTCGTGTGTCGAAATACTATCAGAATCTTGTCAAGCGAGCTTCTGAATGTAAACAAAGAAACACCCCGTCTGGTGACCCAAGCTTCAAAGCAGTGCTTCACTTCTAGCGCGGAATGGCCCCTCCTCCCTTTCCTACCTCCATGATCGAAGTACTGGAAATACTTCGGTGGACGGGGGTAAACTATGTTCTTACATAGTTAAGCATCAGTATAGTTTATTTCAGAGTTTATCTTAGAATATTGATAGTATTGACAAATCATTCAGTGAGTTAACGCATTTGAGGCTTTTCATATTGTCATGTGTTTAACGGTCTTAGTTGTTTGAAATATTAGTATCTATTGATTGTTCTCCGTCCTAATGAGAAGAGCTATAGAAGTACTTTTGTGGAAAGTTCCAGAACTCTGAAGTTCTTCTTTTGGAATAATAAATTTTATCAATCTGTCATCGGATCTGTGTGCATTTGATCATTACAAACCCATACGCACGTAACATTACCAATGTTTAATCCGTGCAGGTTGATATAATGTGTCTATAACAATAGCTTTTTGATAAATGCAAATTATTATTTTCTTATAATTTTAATTTAATATACTGTAACAAATAAAGAAATTGTAAGCCTGAAACTCTTCAAAAATAATCATGTAAGTATTTTTTCTTTCTAGTTTTGCGCACATCACGAAACATCCGACAAGCAGTTGTACCCAACATTTTGCAGAACTAGACCTCCGGACACGCAAATATCAAAATCAGTTGCTTCTTTGCTTCTGACATTTGGCTGGATGAAAGTAGCTTTCCTGTACTCCACTACCCAGGACAGGAGCTTCCGAGAGGTATCCAAGACTATCATTAAAACCCTGGAAGAAGTGGGCATAGAAGTGCGCTACTTGGGTACATGGCCCGAAACATACCATTATGGCTATGGTGAAAATCCTTTTGATAAATTAGTCGAAAATTCTTACATGGATGCAAGAAGTAAGTAAGAACATTTTTTTTTTTTTTTTTTTTTTTTTTCCCTGAAAGACCTGATTTGGACTTTCGTCTGATGCTAAATCTAAATAGCCAGTTTACTCTGAAATTTGTTTTGAAAGCTACTGTCTCAAAAGTTTTTGCAAATTTCTTGAAGATTTGTATAATTAAATCAGTTAAACATTACGATGGGCGTATATATATATTCATCAGAAAAACATTACACTCTAGTCAGTTCTATTTACTGAAATGTCATTGAATATTTGCAAGCTTAATAAGTTAGGAATAATTTTCTTGACGTTTAGTTTAAATGATAATAACAAAACCATTACCAGGAACCGTTTTTTGAGCTCCCAAGTGTGATAAAAGTAATTCACTAAGATTTATTTTCATTTTGACTCTGAACATCTATCAGTGCCATTCGGCATTAACTTTTTAAAGTCAATTTTTGGCCATTTTCCAGATTCATCAAATGTACTTCTTAAAGTCTGAATTAAGTGTTACTTTTTTTAAACATTTAAAATACTAAGGAAGAAATAAATTTCTACTCGATTTTTAAGTGTTTTGAGGATTAATTACTGTCCTTTAATTTTGACATGCATATATTTTAGCACTGAGTAACGTTAAGATTTAATTAGCTCCTAAAGGACTAGAACAGGAAATGAAGAGGAAAAGGGTCTTTTATTCTCCACTCCCCTAGTGAAGAAGTAAAATTAATCAAACTGAATTAGAAATAAGGTCTCATTTTGCTTCTGTCTTACGTTAAATTATGCGTTAAGCTACATTAAATTACGCGTTTAAAAATAAAGGTACTTATATTAATTGCGAAAGTCTTTTTTCAAGATCATGTATAGGTGTTATTTTTTAAAGCAAGTAAGACGTATTAAAAGCTCTTTTGCTTAAAATAGAATTTTGCATGCTTTTAGTTTAAAGTAATAGAAGTGAAGAATAGGGGTTTCGAGGGAAAGCAGTTTGTAGGATTGATTAAATTCTGCAGCTATGATTTGGAGTGTATTTCATGTTCATTATACCGCGAAGTCCAAATAAATTACCTGCATATTTCATAAAATAATTTAGTAAAATATTTGATTATGTATAACTGTAGAGCATTAAATGAGTTGCTTTTATTTGTAAAAAAATACCTTAAAAAATGCGCGTTTCGAAATATTTGCCATTAATACCTCAACGGAGTGTAATTGTTTTCACGTAGCGTTTTTAAAAACAAATAAAGATTAGACCACTGCAAATAAAGATGACAATTTATTACCATTAGATCTTTCATTTTCCTTCAGTGTTATATAGAAGTGCAGTACTAAGCGTAACAAAGTAAATCATTCAAAACGAAATTCTTTCTGTGCTTCTTATTCATTTTTTGCAACAAGTATCATTGCATAATATTACTGTAATAAATGAAATAACTTTCTAACACCCCATAAAATGAAAATTACAAACAAATTGTTTAATACTAGTTTAAATTGTTTTGTCTTTTTTATCAAATATATAATCTAATGTTAATAATGAAATTAATATAGCAATTGCAATTTTTCTCAATTTTTTCCCTCAAGCATTTATATATTTTTACATTTGTCTGTTAATACAATTTTACATTCAAAGCATAAATGTAGAACCGAACACAAAATTTAAAAAATACTATTTTTTATTTAATACTAGCTGAGGTACCCCGAAGTTGCTCAATTTAGGTGAATAGAGGTAGTTTCTTCGAAATATCTGGGAGAGAATGATTTTCCTCCTATTTTGATTCAAAGTGAATTGTGCAAAATTCTATCAAACTCAAAATAACTGTAGATTACTGTGCACCAATACGACGTCCTGTAATGGTTTTAGTAAAAACTGATACTTGGTTTTTTTATCAGTTACGTCTTTTTTTTTTTTTTTTTTTTTTTTTTAGAAATGAACTTTCCAAAACCTACCATCCACTTAGGCCTATTTCTTCACCTTTTTCGAAATATTCGCGAAAAAATGATAGGGAGCGTTTTAAATCCTGCTTTAAAGGGCTCTACGGTGTTTTGAAAGTTCTACACTATTATAAAAACTAACAGCGCCATTCAACCAGCGGAAACGAAACAACGGTGTCTTCAACCTACCATGTGTGTCGCCCTGGGGTGATTTTTCGAAATATTTTATAGACACTGGCTTTCCACTTGTTTCGAAGGTTAAATGCGCAAAATTTCATCAAAATCGGAATAACATTGTAGATTTGTATGAATGATACACATGTAAATAAACAAAAGGGTCCTCTCCATTACTTATTTAAATGAGGCAGACAGGTAAAGTAGAGAGATGTCTTGTTTTGCACCAGATAAATCTTTCTACTGCAAAGCGGAATGTCATGCTTGCATGCGAAGAAGGCAATTTAATATTTCAGAGGAAGAAAAGAAAATTTCGCATTTTTGGACAGAAATTTGAAAGATCAGGCTCAAAAGAAGAGACAAAAAATAATTAATAAAAGCCGGTTTTTAACATAGTTGGTGAAAAAGGGGGGTTAGATTGAGAGAGGAGATTGTTCCAGAGAGGAAGACGAAGTAGAATATATTTAGAAGATGTTTGCAATGCTTCGTTTCAAAGGCTTGAATTTGTTCTGAAGCTGAAGTTCGGTTTAAAACTCCTGAACATTTACACTCCCACTCAAAAATTAGGCAAAAAAGGCAAAACTTGGATTAATAAAAATTATTTTAGTGGATATAAATTAATGAAATTGTTCTAAGAGGATGGTGTGGCATTAGTAGACCATATAGCAAACAATACAGCAAAGATATACAGAAACACAGAAGATCAAGAATTCTCGAAGCGAAATCCGAAACTGAATTTAGATCCATATCAAGAATTTAGAAACGTACTGTAGAACATAATTATCAATTTGAATAATTTGCTAATGTAGATTATTTGGAAAACCAAAAATGTGCCGTAAGTGCAAAGATTATGGGAAGAAACGTGAAGAACTTGTACATATTTGTCTTAGTAGAAGAGGTACCACAGAAGCAGTAAACATAGCCTTTGATAGTATTTCTTCCGAAATACTGGATAATACTTTTGTTTCATTTCAAGCAGCAGTGAAAAACGATGGATACAATAATTTTAAGCTCACGCGTATACAGAAAGCAATGCTTCGCTGCCAAGGGATCTATCTATCCTACAAATTTAAAATGCAGTAATGAAAATATTGAAAGATCCAGAAACTACCTGGAGACTCAAAATAAAAACTGGGTGTAATATTTTAAATGTATTGTTTAATTTATTCAGTTTTTGATAACAAATGCTGCATTTTACATTTTTTTTTCATTTGCCACTTTTATTATGTAAAAATTAAGTTCATAGTTAACTGCTACTATTATTATGGGAAGTGAAAGTGTAATACTTCAGAAAATGCAGGGTTATTCAAAAACAGTGTACCAATTACGAACGCCTATTTCCCAATCTTTAAGCATCTTCGAGGCAGAATAACTGACCATTTAAAAGAGTAGGTTTCTACTTTTTGAATAGTTAGAAGCAGGTCGCTCTGCCATGCTCTGGTTTAGTTATTCCCTCTCAACAGTCAGTTGCTTTTCACGGTAAGAATAGTGGAAACTGAGCAAAAATAGCTCTACAACTCTAAAAGGGCACGAGGTCGACAGTGGTTCCAGCATTTCTAGATAATGCAATTCTATTTAAAGGAACAAGTTTCAGATGGTCATGAGTTTCAGAGGTAAAAGTGGAGAAAATACGAGGCGCCTTTCAGCGAAGCCCACGGAAATCCACAATTCAATTTATCATCAGCGTATGACGCCTCAATCCATTTAAACATTTGTAATAATCCATTTAAACATTTTGTTGGGAATAAAACCTTACTATCAGTAAATCCCATTTTGCCTGGTTAAAGTCAGAAGTTCCCTTCCCTAACCAATGTAGCTTCATGAAATGGGTCATTCTTTTTGAATGATCTTGTATAATAAAACAAGAGTTCTCAAACGCTCCGGAATTTCTCCCTTAAAAGAAGAATTCCACGTTCTCGAGGGACAATTATTAGCCTTTAAGACTGTAGACAAAGAATATAACAAAACGCTTACGGTGGATTTACAACTCTCTTTTTTTGAAAGAACTAAATCAATACTTTTCATGACAGTCTTCACAGAAGTTAATCTATTAATATCAGAAAAAATTTTGAACTAATGTTTCATTTTAAATTACTTGTAAATAGAAACATTTCTCTCTTCCATTCGTGTTCAACTCGTAACACCATGGCAAACTTTTAAATTAAATGTCATGGCCAAACATTTTCGTAAGTGAGGCAAACGTTTTGCGTCATTTATTATTATTATGAGCATGAGCTTGACTGAAAGCAACTGAATGTTGAGATTTACAACTACAGGCACCGCACGAATGTTAGATTTCATAATTTTTCCGATTTATTTATTCTTTAAAGTTAAAAAAAAATCAAAACAGAAATATTCGCGAAATTTTAAACAGCTGTCATATTTCTTATAAAACTTTACATTTCTTGATTGTGCAATTAACTTTTGCTTCCTTGCACGAAATAAAGGAAGTACTGTCATCGCGTAACATTTCGGGTATCAAACTTCAACGGAAATATCCTTCTTGGAAGGTTTCCGAATCCATTTGAGTGATTTTTTGCGAGGCATCTGTACATATGTAAATAATAAAGGCATATTTTTTTAATTCGATTGTAAAATTATTTAAAATGAAATTCAAAAGAACTTTTCGTGACGTCTGTACTTACCTACGTAAGCATGCATTTCGCGTAACTCAAAAACGATTAGTCGTAGAACGTTAAAATTTTGTATTTAGAACTTCGGTAACATCTATTTATGCACGTCCGTTTTAATGCAATCTTACCAAACTCTCTCTCTCTCTCTCTCTCTATATATATATATATATATATAATGTTGTATGAACTTAAATCCATTTAGTGCGAATACAAGTTATTATTACTTGCGCAATTGCTGCAAAGTTAGTTAATAATAATTTATTTCCTAAACAGTATTAATTAA